GCATCTATACATTTGTATGTACTTTATGCTTTTATGATGAGCTTTGAAGAAATTACAAAAAAAGAGAATGGTGCCAAATCATAGCATAGCAGCAGAAATGTGTTTCAGCATGCCTGAATGTCTCAGATAATTCTCCATTAAAATTCTGCTTTCAACACTCACAAATGGGCTGCGTTGTGAGGTATAGCAATATTTGTCTTAGTGACAGATTTGACTCTTTCTGTCCTTCTGCTGTGGATTTCACATACAGTTTATCCCAAAGCAATTAAAGACATTGCTCCTTAGATACAAAGCTAGAATGTGTATTTCAAGGTCATTTTGATAATTGGCAACTACTAAATTAATACATAAACTCTTTGTCACTCTGTCATCCTCCTACTGAACCAAACACTAATTTCCTACTAACTTTACCTTCACATCTTTGAGACACTTCCTCCAATCAATAAATACCATTGGGCTTGGTGGCTCTGTAGGATAAGCACAGGTCTGCTAATCACAAAGTCAGCCCATTTGAGCCCACTAGCTGCTCCATGAAACAATGATGTTTTCTGTTCCTGCAAAGATTTACAGCCTCGGAAGCCTTAGCTGGGATCGCTAAGAGTCAGAACTGACTCAACAGCACTTAACAATAACAACAATATATTGACAAATGGGGGGCTTCCAAAGTTCGTGAAACAAATTCTAGTAGCTGTCAATTCCATTTTCCATGAATTATTTTAACCCCCATGTATAATCCTGTTTACCTAGTAATAAAAGGAGTCTTGCTGTGGCACTGTGGGCTTGCAAAGTCAATCAGAACTGCAAAGTGGGCGGTTCAAGCTCACCATCTGTTCCTCAGGAATCCTCTACAGGGTCACTATGGGTCAGAACCGACTTGACAGCACTTAACAACAATAACAACAAGAAGTAATAAAAAACAGTTACAATACTCTCATTTAAAAAGGAGCTGTTTACCCATTTGACCTAGCTTCAATGGCTGGATGACCAGAACTCAACTAGAGGAAGAAAGAAAAGTGTAATCTACAATTTGACCAATACTTATGGATGTAGTAGCTTAAAAGAGGGAATGAATCTTTACAGAAAGGATCATTCCCACCATTCCGTACACAGGGTTGACAGGGGTGTGTAACTTAGACGTTGGCTACCCAAAATAGGGGAGGGGGGGAAGGGGAGGTACAAAGTGACTAGATTACATGCTTTCAAGAGGGAGCCTAGTTTCAGAGGGTGCAGGGGAAGGTAGAATCTCCACTGAGTGGTTTCCAACCTGTCTGGATGGGGCTGGTGAAAGGAGATGGGGATAAGACTCTTGTGGT